CGTACTGAGGAATATTGGTCCCCGATAGTTTTTGAACGAGCCTCGCTGCGCTCGGTCAGAACACAAACGACCTCGGGCCAATATTTTATTCCCTAGTCCGACCCTCGCACTGAGTGAGGAAGAAGTTCATTTTGCATATAAGGCATGTAACCCAGATTCACATATTATTCTGCTAAAATCCCTGGGATTTTTGAGTGGGATTTTATTTATTTTGGTGAGTGTTTTTGGAATTTAACAGCTTGCAAGCATTCTTGTACCAAAAAAAACAACTGATGCACAAGACCACTGCTGGAAAGAAAAACACATGCAAACACACGTCCCGAAAAAATGTTTCCTAGTGCGTAAAAGGGTTGAAAACAATTGTGCCTGTGGCGGCCAAGTCACCCACACACCTCAAAAGTCACATGGTCTACCACTAACCCACCATACGCCAACTTAGACACTACTAAAACAATCCCAGACAATCTAGTGCGCTACTCTGTTTTCCAGTCCCTCTCGACTCACCTAAGAAGGTTTTCGATTTCCTTCTCGTAGTTGTCTTTGTACATCTTTTCCACGTCCAGTTTAACGTGCGGGTCTGTGTTAAGGGTGTGTTTCTCAAAGTAGAGGGCTTGCATGACACCACCGACATTGAGCCCCTTGCCTCCAAAGTGATAAGTACGAGAGATATCCGGTATAATACATTCGCGACCCTTTCTGTTGAATGAAGCTCTCATCCACATGTCCCAGTCAATAAATTCATCTGGTTTCGGCCATTTCGCCTCTAGTTCATTTTTAAACAGCTTGCGACTCAACACCCTGAAAGAATTCAGACAATAAATTATTTGCNAGTACAGGTCCAGGATTAACAACAGATCACTGAATCCTCTATATTGCATTAACAGGTCAAACTACCTGGTCATTTATTGTGGCATCATCTCTGGCCTTTTAATTACTTCCTTCAGCAACTGAACGGGGAAATCCTCATGTTGGTTACAAAGGCGCAGTAGCCACATATACGCCTCGTCGGCCTATTGTATATAAACTACTCACACTATGTTCACGTAAACTATGTTACATACAATAGCATAGTGTTTACAACTTCAAAAGATAATGACGTGTACGTACTGCGGACCTATTTATTGACTTTGACGCGCAGGTAAAGTAAAGTTACGTCATCACTATGGATTTTGTCGGGTCCAGTCTCATTCGTCCCTTGAGCGCCGAACGACATTAAGCATGAAAAAAAGACCACAAGCAGGTTTAAGATCCAGTCAAACCGGTTTCATTTTTACCTGATCGTTCCAAGCTGATATACAATAGACACTTTCGTCGTTTTCATAGACCGGCAGAAGCTGTTTGAAGTAGCTGAGAATATCTACGGACACATCGAGATCTTCCTCCAGAAGTAATAAGAAGTTAGCATCGGGATGCTGGTCAAATAAATCAATAATAGATTTCTTGTAGTGATGAAAAACAAGAGAAAAAGCATCTTAAAAAGATCTTCAGAGGAAGCAGCAAAGAAATCCCCTAAATAGCTGTGACTACAGAGCGATTCATTTAGGAGGAGGGCCTCCCAGGGGTTTTGAGGAACGAGGGAGCATGATCATTTATTTCAAGGGAACAAGGAATATTTCGGGGATTAATTCGAGGGAACAAGAGATATCTCACTCTTAAGGGAAATTTAACAGAAAACGTTAGGAAACCATAGAATTTATTAATAGGGAACAAGGGGGAAAGAGTAAACTTTTCAAGGATCAAGGGAACACTGTACCCCCCCCCCTGCCCCCACCCCCTTTCGGGAGACTTTCATTACAGAGGGATTCATTCAGGGGTGTTTCGGAGCTTTTCCTTGTACACTGTGCAATACAAATTTAAAAGCCTCCGGTTTTATTTTATCAGATCGTTTATCTCTACGAGCTAGAGGCAATTCATTAGAGGCAATTTATTATAAAGTCTGGGTTTGTTATTTACGTGAAAAAGTAACGACAACTTCCTAAGAAATGACGAGGAACACAAGATTTGATAGTTTGATTTGGCCATTCTTTAAATCAAGTGTTACTTAACCTCCTGGGATGGGACTTCCGTATGAAAAGGTCGGGGATGGTTGTGGTATCGCTTAGGAGTGTAAATCAAGGATTGTGGTCTCACATAGGATGTTGATGACGAAGCGCCGCCATTTTAAGCTGTCGAAGTATCTTTAAGGGTGCACTCGAAGAAATAATGATATAAGAAACACTCTATTTTCAGGTTCAATTCCCGCGGGTCTCTCGAGTCCGGTCAACTGGTGCGGGCTCCTTTCCTGAACAGCGGCTGGTAATCAAGTCTATTCCGTTTTAAGTGGTATTTTTCAGGAGTCAAAAAGGGGACATTTTTGAGGGATGGTCTCCAAGTTGGAAAATTCATTTTCCTTTGGGTTCAAAATATTTGGTTGAATGAATATAATGCGCAATATTTCGAAGAGGCTATTTTATAAGACGGTAATGAGTGTGTACCTGACCAATTCTGGCGTTGAGCCGGCTAACACCAGCATGCTGTTCAAGTTTGACTCCAAGGAGCCTGGTAACCGAGGCCGGCTCAGGCCAGAAACCATCAATAAAGACAGTAATCATACTCGGGTCCAGTCCTTCAACCTTTTGCAGACCTAGAAGCATGCGCAGTAGGTAACTCGGTCTGTTACTCGCCATAACCGCTATTGGGAGTTGAAAGCGGCTTCCATCTAGAAAAGGTGGTGGGTTGAGTTCTATAGATACTGGATCTTCACCTAAAATTGGAAAAGATAAACTGTTACTTCTGCAATAATACACTTGAACAAATCACTTGAGTCTGACTGGCTAAAAAGGAGTGAAACATCAGAGAAACACCAAATTTGAAACACCAAATTACAAGATATCCGAGGTTAGTAGGAAGAAACTCGAAGACTATCGATGGTCATCAGAGGTATTTCGTAGGTGGTTGATGTTCAATTGAGGCCTTTCGAAGGTATAGCCAAAGGTAATTAGGCCGTTTTCCCAGCACTTACGAGAATTACCAGAGTCCTTCCGAAGATCAACGAATGTTACCCGAACATTTCCGAACACCTCCCTTCCGAAGATCACCCGAAGCTGGCCATAATTGTAACAATTAAAATCGGATTCTCATGTTCTTTTTGGAGGGTGATATCCCACATTCAATCAAGAACAATTGAACTAGTTATTCTGAGCCTGATGTAATGGGACATTGGTCGATATCGAGGGATACCCCTTCCCCTCTCCCAGCAATTTTTTTAGGGCGCGCTCTCAGTTTGCGCCTATCTATTTATAACACCTTAGTGGAGAGAGGTACTGGGAAAGCAAAATATCTTGACCAAGAAAGCAACACAGTGACCCAGCCAGCGCTGGGTCCCGTGCGCTAACGAATACCACCATCCCCCGAAAAACAATCAACGAGGGCAACTTACATCTACAAACATCGCCATAACCCTCGTACTTGTCACAGAACTCTCTCCTCCTCCTGTTCGCTATCGTGTCTTCCCAGCTACATTCGACGACATTCTCAGGAAGAAGTTTAATAAGTGTGCGTATCGTAACAGGATTCGCCCATTTGCCATGTGTAGCTGGGTTCTGAAAGCTCTCCGCGTGAACAATGCGTTGATTGTTCCGCGTTCCTGACACAATAAATGCCCAAGTAGAGCGGAACTGGAGTTGTTTTACAAAAGAACTGCCGTAACTTGACAGATAACTGACGGCTTCCTCAGACAGCCGAGCTGCAGCGTCATCCTAGGGAGAAAAGGTTTCAACAAGGTTGGTTTTCTAGCATTCCTATATAAAAGGGTCGGGGATGTTAGCGAAAAATTTGAATTACACCCTAAAGAAGACCAATCTGGGTGTGGTTCGGGCTTTCTTTGACCTCTAAAAGATACCACTTAAATAGACATGCCAGCGTTTTTTATTATTTCTTCGAGTGCAACTCTGAAAGATAACTTGACGCCTAAAACTAATGACGTTTCGTCCTGAACACTCAAAGTGAGACCAAAGCGTGAATCACGGGGGATTTGGCTTGCATACCCCGGATTTAGATAGGATGTAAATTGTTGCCTTTCTGTTCTGTGATAGGGTAGGGTTTCTGCACTTTTGTCAGTGGTTGCAGGTCGATCGAGCTACGAAAGTTTCGAGCTCAGAGCGCGAAACACGGATCTCACAGGAAAGATACGTCATCAGGATAAATTTTCGAGTCGATCAGTAGTTTTTCAAGTGGAGGAAACGTGCGATTTTCTCTACCCTATTTATGACCTGACCAAAAATTCGATAGCTTATTTAAGACCTGACCCTTTAATCAATACCTTATTTTAGACCTGCTTTACAATTACTTCCCTCGTTGAGACCAATGCTAATTAAAGGGAGTGTTTATATGCTTTTATTAGATAGGATCGCTTTTTCTAAAAATAACTCCCAATTAAGACTATAGTGCAAAAGACATACCCTATTAGAGACCAAAATGGCCAATATCGATACCCTATTTCTAACCTAAAAGGCTGAAAAAAACCATATTCTTTGGGGCCGCACATACCTATCTCGGAGTAGAGCCCATTTAAGGGAGTATTTCCCGCGAGTGCTTGTTTGCTCAAGCCCTGACTAAAAGTGCTTGTTGTCCAACTAAAAAATTAACACGAAAATTAGCAATTTTATTACCCTTACCTTCACAGCGAAACATACGATTCTTCCTTGTCTCAGACCTTTTAGATATTTCACAAGCAGACCGCTGTCCGCTGCAGATTCATAAGTATCGTACCATCTGCTCGACATCACGGCACCTGTTACTTCATTCAAGACCACCACGTTTAGTCCTCTTATTAACATTTCAGATGTATCCCACCTCTGACAGAACAATGCAAAAGAGCAATTAGTTTAAGGCTTAATTTATCGAACTAAAATGTCATGTTTTGCAAAGGCAGCTCTGTGTACTGGCGGAGGCGAGGACCAGGAGTATTTTTAAATTATTTCTCACTTCGCTGGTTAACGAGTACGGTCACTTTATGTATATGCTACATGACGTGAAAGAGGGCATTATGGGAGAGGAATACGAACGCAGACATCTTGATCCAGTCTCCGAAGCACGCCCCACAAAATGGCGAAGATTCGGTGAGAAAAACGCGTAGTAATAAACTGTAATACGTACCCTTTTTCCATTTATTGTGAGCGTTACATTTTCCTTACTGGAGTATACTTCTAATTCCAAGAACTTTGTTTCTACAAGGTATATAATAGGTACACATAAAGTATATGTGGCTAATGCTGTCAATAATGATATGATATCAATATATTGTTTCAATACTAAGCACGACCCTCAAACAAAATGAGTGTTTAAGTGGCTCTTGAGTCAGCGATAAAAATCTTCTTAATTCAGCAGGTACACTTCATGTTTGGGAGTCGAAGTTCTTACAACGCTGCTGTTTTTGAATACCGTTCGACAACAAGAAAAGTAAACTTCTTGAAGGGCCACTTATGCCAGAAGACTAACCGTACGTAGTTAGGGACCAGAATAATAATGCACTCTGAATCAACATGCCTCTAATATACAGAGGCTAAAATGTCAAGCGTTACTGACATCAGCTTAACTTGATCAGCTAATTCTAATACAATTCTAATACAATCAGTCGGATTCCATAACTGAATCAAACATCGAACTTCAATTAATTTTATGTTATTTGTCGGCTGATCTGTGCACATACTGAAAGACGGAGGCCAGGTCTTGAAAATGCATTTTAAAGCCCGAGGTCACAGTTTTTCACTACACGGACGGACCCTAAGGTGGCTCCTCTCTCTCTCTCTCTCTCTCTCTCTCTCTCTCTCTCTCTCTCTCTCTCTCTCTCTCTCTCTCTCTCTC